ATGGGGAGGGGGGTTACCTGGCTGCCTGAGGAGATGGCATGGGAGAGATGCCAAATGCTTGCTACTTGTAAAAAGTTCAGTGGTGAGCTGGTAAGACAAGACTGGAGATCAGGGGTTGGCAACCTTTTCAAACCACAGAGCCAAACTACATCAAAAAATTCAGAACAAGTGGTCAACAAAGAATGCTCATTTACCTGGCTGAAAATATGCAACTTCATATTATTGATAATTGATGTGATGATCAGGGCTCGACGGGCGAGTAGATTGTAATCCAGAAGAGCTGGGTTTGGGCGATCTACGTATGCGCAGAACTATCTACGCATGCGCAGATTGCTGGACAGTGCGGCTGGCGAGCGGGGCTCGCCGTGGTTTGGCAAGCCCTGGTGATGATTAATAATAGTATACATGAAACATTGTACTCACAGACTTTATTTAATGGGACTTCTGCTGCTGCATCTTTTCGCACATTTCTTTGAAGTTTACATCATAACTGTTCAAATTCAGCCTCATGCATGCATTCAGGCTGTCCTCTGTCAATCCTGAGCGCAAAGTACCTTTGACATGATTCAGGGGGGTTTGGCTGCATGATGGGCTCAAGGCACAGGGTTGGGGTGTATGGGGGGTGCAGGAGTGTTATGGTAGGGGTCTGTGGATGTGGGGGTGCAAGAGTCAGGGATGGGATGCAGGACGCCAGGTGTTGGGGGTGGGAAACAGAGTATGTGGAGGGGCCCTTGGGATGGATTACCTTGTCTGGTTGGGGTTGGGCTACTGTACCTGGGCAGCAGTGGCTGGGCGGGGGGCTGGGCCAGGATTGTCGCAGCAGGATCATGGCCGGGAGGCTGCCCCCAGCCCTTCCTGAGGCCAGATGGGGGCTGGACTATGGGGCTTGCCCCAGGATCAGGGCAAGGGCCAGGACGCTGCAGCCAGATGGCATCAGAGAGGTGAGGTTGGTGGCTGCCCCATGTGCTGAGGCTGGAGCTGGAGCCAAAGTGCAGCTGCTCCTGGAGCTGCACTATGGCCCTGGTCCCAGGAGCGGACACACCACAGCTCAGCTCCAGCTCTGGAACACGGGGCAGTTACCCACCATGCAGCTCCGCTAGACCGCATGGCAGCCGCTGGAGCTGGAACCAAAAACGTGGTGCAGCTGTCCCAGTACAGACAACTGCACCGGGGGCCGGTGCCCACCCCACAGCTCCACTAGGCCATGTTTGGTGCTAAACCGTGAGCCATAGGTTGCTGACCCCTGCTGTAGATACTAGTGTCCTGCAAAATCTGTGTCCTCCTGATCATTTTTTGGAAGCAAGGTAGCAGAAGACAGACATGGGGCTGATTTAAGTTCCCAACTCTATACCAAGCAGGATGCTAGGAGGAGAGCTAGTATGCAGCTAAAGAAAGAATGTCATTCTCCTAGGCAGCAATTTTCCCCAGGATTAAATTCATACTACTATTTACAAAGAAATTAAAGTATGAAACGAATAATGCAATTGGTTTCAAAAGGCAGTTTTAAACAGTTAAAGTGCATACAAAGAAATTAAAGTATGAAATGAATAATGCAATTGGTTTCAAAAGGCAGTTTTAAACAGTAACCTACCTCTAGCAGAAACAGAGGCACAATAAAAAATAAACCCACATTGTCAGCATGGGAGCTGTGAAACTTACACTGGTCCTTTAAGAAATGTCGGTAGAAAGAAGTCAGGCTTTCTGAGCCACATGCATGTGGTGATGTCATTGTGTTGGTCCATGGGAACTAGGAAGTAGAAGTGGAGGAACCATTTTTCCTGTGCAAAGCAGAGTAACCAGCTGAATTAAAGCCGTCAGAAATGGATATAGATGCATATGCTTTACAGTCAGATTTCAGTTTGAAGCTTGGAAGAGGTTATTAGTTACAAAGGTAAGTTAAATATAAATTAAATATGATTAAAACAGATTGACAGTATCCTTTCTGGAAAAAAAGTTGAAATGTTTAAAATCCAGGTGTGTGTGCAGGCAGAGAAAAAGGATTGAATCCAGTGAGGGGGACCATACAGAAGAAACAAAGCAAGAAAACTAAAATGGCAAGGTTAAAATTGTATTTTAAAAATGTCTTATGTTATTAAACTCCTCTGATCATTAAAATTTAAACCTTTAAAATTAATTTATTTTTCATGAAGGTCTTCTTTTGTTTACTTTTTAGGTTTTTCTCAAATGAGTCATTCACTTTATACACTCTGTATTCACTTTCTACTTCTGATGTACTAACACTATTTTGGAAAATTCAGGGAACAGACATTGCATGGGAACGTTTAGAGCCAAGCAAATTAATTTTACTGCACTGCTTTATTTTTAAAGGTGGACATTTCTCTTACTATCATTATTATGTAAAACTTGTTTTTTAAAAATAATATCTGTGCTTTGGGTTTAAATAGCCCTGACTACATCTCTTTAAGAAATTCTTAAATGATAATCTGACTGACTTTAGTGAATGGCAGGATTTTCTGCCTATCTGGTGTTTATTACCAGGAATATTTTGGAGTTAGTGAGATAATACATAGTGACATTAAATTTCAGTTTTTCTGCTACAAAATGGGGGCGGGGAACCCCTGTAGGTGTTTACCAGTCTTAGAAAACTCTAACTTTAGTCATGCTCCACATTTAGAAATAGAAATAATGGCACTCAGCAGTTTGAGTATTGTTTGGAGACATCAGCTTAATGAATACTGAAAGTAATTTTTCTCTTTGTCAGAGAGGATCTGCTATGCATTTCTATCAGTGAATTCCCACCCACATCCAGAACCCAGCAATTATACAACATTCCCTCATTCCTAAAATACTGAAATACCTAAATTCCAACTTTCTCTCCATGTTATTGCCCTGCTTTCTTCGTATGGAATTGACTTATTGTCTGTGGTATCAAGCAACATTTCCAAGATTTCAAATGCACCACACTTTCATGGGAAGCAGCATGGTCCAGTGAATAGGCTACCAGTGTTTCTCAACCTTTTTAAATAAAGTACCCCCAATACCTACAGTTTTCAGAAATGCACATTTTTTTTCTACCATTGCAACACATTTGTTTAAACAACTTAATAGTAGCCAGGCAAGCAATGAAATTTTTGGATGTAAAAAGTATAAAAATAATAAAGAGCTGTAAAACCTAAAACAAAAATTAAGTTTTCTCCAAATTTCAGTTGTGTTGATGTACCCCCCCCCCCCAAAAAATTCTCTGTGACTGGTTGAGAAACACTGGGCTACCAAGTTAGGAGTCATAAGATTGAGTTCCATTTCTGGCTCTCTTACTAGCCTTCTTTGTCCAGGGAATATGTCTCTTCTGTGCCTCTCTTATCCCATTTCTAAGATCAGGCTAATGATATTTGGATTTCTTTATAAACTGCTTTGTGATTAATGGATGAAAAACGATATATAAGAGCTAAGTGTTGTTGCCACTTAATAATCACATATAGAAAAAAATGAAAATATTATTAAAGAGTTACAATGAGTCATACCTCCACGGAGACTGATGTAGATAAATCACGATGCATAAGTATAAGAATGGACTTTGTTCTGATTGGTCAAATATATTGTAACAGGTATCAGGCAGCAATGCAGCAAAGGTAGGCCCCATTAAATCTGCTTAAATGAAATCGCCTTTTTTTGCATAATAGAGAACAATAAATAATATTATTAATATTACTGTCTGTTGGTTAATGTTTAGGTATTACATTCTGGTCACGATGGGATACCTTTCTGAAGAAGGGAGGGATTGCTGTTTAGTACAGAATACACTAAGATAGTGGCTCTCGATCTATCCAGACTAGTGTACTCTTCAGGAATCTGATTTGTCTTGAATACCCTCAAGTTTCACCTCCCTTAAAAACTACTTACTTACAAAATCAGACACAAAAACACAAAAGTGTCACAGCACACTGTTACTGAAAAATTGCTTACTTTATAATTTTTACTGTATAATTATAAAATCGCACTTGCATGTCAGTTTATAGAGTACTAACAAGTCATTGTCTATGTGAAATTTTAGTTTGTAGTGACTTCGCTAGTGCTTTGTATGTGGCCTGTTACAAAACTAGGAAAATATCTAAATAAATGAATGTATACTGACAGGTCTCTGTGTACTCCCAGGGTTACCTGTACCCCTGGTTGAGAACCACTGCACTAAGAAGCTGAAATTTCATTGTTGTTCAGGGCTGTCTGTTCAGTGAATCTGTCAGTACTGTCCTGGAACTGTTAATTTGTACCAGGAATTGTGTATGCTGAGAGACATAGAAAACAGAAACTTTGCGTCTTTCTTGTAGTTTTTGCTAGTCTTTTCATAGTATGGAAGGTAAGAGAACTTCTGGCCCCTTCATAATATTATTAATATTACTGGAAGGTAAGAGAACTTCTGGCCCCTTAATAATATTATTAATATTACTGTCTGTTGGTTAATGTTTAGGTATTACATTCTGGTCACGATGGGATACCTTTCTGAAGAAGGGAGGGATTGCTGTTTAGTACAGAATACACTAAGATAGTGGCTCTCGATCTATCCAGACTAGTGTACTCTTCAGGAATCTGATTTGTCTTGAATACCCTCAAGTTTCACCTCCCTTAAAAACTACTTACTTACAAAATCAGACACAAAAACACAAAAGTGTCACAGCACACTGTTACTGAAAAATTGCTTACTTTATAATTTTTACTGTATAATTATAAAATCGCACTTGCATGTCAGTTTATAGAGTACTAACAAGTCATTGTCTATGTGAAATTTTAGTTTGTAGTGACTTCGCTAGTGCTTTGTATGTGGCCTGTTACAAAACTAGGAAAATATCTAAATAAATGAATGTATACTGACAGGTCTCTGTGTACTCCCAGGGTTACCTGTACCCCTGGTTGAGAACCACTGCACTAAGAAGCTGAAATTTCATTGTTGTTCAGGGCTGTCTGTTCAGTGAATCTGTCAGTACTGTCCTGGAACTGTTAATTTGTACCAGGAATTGTGTATGCTGAGAGACATAGAAAACAGAAACTTTGCGTCTTTCTTGTAGTTTTTGCTAGTCTTTTCATAGTATGGAAGGTAAGAGAACTTCTGGCCCCTTTTAATTTGGCAGGAGAAAGCAAAGGTCAGCTTACAGCAGTGGTGGGCAACCTGAGGCCTGTAGGCCACATATGGCTTGTCAGAGTAAGCCCCTGGCAGGCTGCCAGACAGATTGTTTACCTTGTGTTTTGCATGTATGGGCTGCTCACAGCTCCTATTGGCTGTTCACTGGCCAATGAGAGCTGAGAGAAGCAGTGGCCAGCAAGTCCCTGTGTCCTGTATTGCTTCCTGCAGCTCCCAGTGGTCAGGCACGGAAAACTGCGGCCAATGGAAGCTGCAGGTAGTTTATCCTGATGAACTGTGTGCAGCCTGTGGGCCTCAGGTTGCCTACCACTGGCCTACAGACTCTCTCCCTTAGGAGATTAAGGATTTTACAAAAGAAGAAAATAAAATTGCTCTCTTGCTTGTTTTTAAGCCAGGTTTTTAACTTGTTCTTGTGTAGGAAGTAGGAATGTGCAAAGAACCTTCCCCTCTAGTACTCCCATGTAAGAATCAGGCACAGCTGCAGTTCCTGAGTGCAGGAGCTATGCCTCAGGTCTTTGTGGGATGATAACTCTTTTCTTCTCTCACAGTTTCTATGCTGACCAAAAGATCAAGAGAGCTGTGTAGAAAGCAAAAGGGTTGACCATGCTTAAGGACTGTGCATGTCCACAATCCTCAGTAAGGAGCTGTGGGAGCGATTATGTCTATTGAACACCAATCATGCCCAGAGTTCTCAAGTGAGCTATCTATACATTGCCCTGTATTGATGGATGTGTCTTATTGGGACCACTAAACACATAATTTTGTAAAAACTATAAAATTAAGCAAGCACATGGCTTTTAAAACATGTTCGTTAGGTATGTCAAAATCAGTAATTTAATATTTTGAAAACAGAACAAGGATTGATTCATTCAATGTTTTTAATTAATAAGTTTTGGTTTTCCAAAGGGATTTTTTCTTCAATGCCAAGAAAACAGTGAGAACTTTAACTATATTCAAAATCCATGGCTGGAGGAGGGAAGATGATGTCCTTGGACCAACTGCAGAACACAACCCATAAGCCGGTAACTTTCCATCATGTAAACAGCTTCTCCCTGCAGGCAGTGGGCAATTTTACCCTATTAGGACTTTGCTCTTACATGTCAGCTAGTCAGAGCCGAGTGTTTTTTGTGCGGTGATAAGATTACTGCAAAATCTCCGCATTTCTCATGCACACGAGAATAACTTGCTGCTTTCAGTACAGTTCTTATTAATAGGGTAGGGAACTTGGAGCTGTGTGTATCTTGTTGTTAAAGTACAGTATATCCAAAAAGGAGAGAATACTCATACATCTGTACTCCAGGGCTAGGCTTAAAGCTTGCCCAGCATGGGTCTTCAGCTGCACTGAGGTTGGGGACACCATGCACTGCCCACTCTCCCTGTGCTTGAGGCCTGCCCCTGCGGTGGGGATGGGGAGTGAGCTTGGCTCCTGTAAAAGGCAGTCCTCCGGAAGGAGGGGGTGAGGGCTTGCCTCCCCCAGCCTTATGTTCACCCACAGCATGTGTGTTAGGTTATCTTTTGTGAGTCAGGGAAAGTGAAGGAATGTGAGTTGCCTGTCCCCCAACTCTGTTTTCATATGTGATTCACTCTGCAGAGGGAGCAAGATTAAGCAGTTCTTTCTCATAACAATCTCTCCTTGAATGGGCCATACAAGGGGTGGTTTCTCGGATTCCCCTACCAGAAAGAGCCTCAAAGATATTTTCTCCTGAAATATATTTTTTTACTCTCCAATCCAATCCAATCCAATCCAATCCACTTCTATGCTGCATGTAGAAATGGAAGGTTTTACTTAAATTTTCATGGCGGGAGTAGTGCAGTGCAGTTACAAATTTGAGATACCCCTAACATAAAAATAACATTTAAATTAATTTAAATTCATTTTTTTTAATACCTTTAGCAACTTGATTGGTTTTTTTTTACACTCCCCATTACGAGGAAGGATTAGAACTGTTTCCAGTGATTCATGGATTCCAAAGCTTCTTTCTTGTCCTTAATTCTGCAGGCCATCGATTTTTTTTCTTGTGTCTCTCTCTATAATTCCTAGTTTCTGTTTTATATCTATTACTGTCAATTTCCCTTTTCTTTCATTTGTTACTTACTTTATATTTTCTATAGTTGCTTTCACTTTCTCACTAAACCAAGTTGTTTTTTAACTATGTGGGTCATCTTATGTTGGTTATTTAGAATTTTCCCCTTCAATATTATTAGTTAGAATGGCGGATTTTACCATATTTTTTCTTTTTCTTTTTTACCCAAACATCCCCAAATGTTTTTTGAATGTTTTCCTCTTTCTCATAGGCTGTTCCATACACTGGGACAATTCTTGGTGGTCTTCATCCTGGAGAATTAGTTTTAATACGAGGGAATGTTCCTGATGATTCTGACAGGTAATTTGCTAAAGTCACCTGACTCTCAAGTGGTTATATTTTGAATGAGTCTTTAAGGAGCCATGCTGGTAAATGGATTTTTATATCTTGTGGGATACACATTCACTGGAAATATTTTAATTTTTCTATCATAAAATTGGGGCATTATGAACCTGACCCTGCATCTATCAATGGAGAAGCTCATTAATGGACATTGGAGGAGACCCCAAGATGTGTGACTGAAATTGGCTGAAATCTTTGGAAGCAAACCCACAGCTTTAATAGAAAAAAAAATTCAGATTTGAAAAAGTAATGAATTTATATTTAAAAACTGATCTTTGCCACAGTAGACACCTGTTGACATGTTGATTTATAAAATACTCTGAATATATGTAGTAGAGTTACATAATGCTGAATGTGTGCGTGTAAGTAGGAAGCAAAGGATAAATGCAGGTTTCAAAATGAGATTTAAGGAAAATAAGTCACTCCTCATCTTGCTCCCTGCTCTGTACTCACTTTTTTTTGTCTGGTCTCTTGGTTCCCTTTGTTTCCTTCCTCTTTGGATAATAATCTCCTTCCTATGATCCAGAAACCTTTCCTTTCTAAGGGCAGTATCTGAAACAATAGAAGTGTTTTGTCACTCAGAAGAATCAGGCTTCACATGAGTCGTAATCTGGTGGCTATGGGGGTCAAAGATAGAGAATTGAAATCTAGGTTTCATTACCTGTTCTTCCACAAGTTTCCACTGTGGATTTGGTCATTTAATTTATTTCCCCATCTTTAAAATGGGAATGAGCATTATTTAGAAGGAGTAATAAGGATTAATTTAATAAAGTACATACCATGCTCAGATGCTATGGTGATTAGCACCAGAGAAATACTTATAGGTTATTCTACTTCTAGGTAATAGATTAAGGAGATTTTTGAAAACACATGAGAGTAAGGCTCCCAACTTCCATTGTTTTTTCTTTTTTGTTTTTGTTTTTTTTCCCAGTGGGAGCTGGGTGCATAACTGCCCACTGTGCCTTTAACAATCTTCCTGTGTTTGGTTAGTCATAAATTAGTATTATGTATCTAACACTTTACTTGTCATTAATTTGTAATCACCATAACGAGATTTAATACAAAGTTTGTATATTATTAAAACGTAATTAAATATTTTAGAAGAGAACACTTCTAGATGAGCTGAACTGAATGTGTGTTTTTAATTTCTGATCAGGTTCCAGGTGGACTTCCAGTGTGGCAATAGCACAAAACCTCGGGCTGATGTGGCCTTTCACTTCAATCCCCGCTTCAAAAGATCTGGCTTCATAGTTTGTAACACTCTGGAAAAAGAAAGATGGGGTTGGGAGGAGATCACTTATGAGATGCCTTTTCAAAAAGGGAAGCCATTTGAGATTGTCTTTATGGTTTTGAAGGATAAATTTCAGGTGAGTTCCTAAGAAACATGAGTATTTAGCCACTTGTCATGCCATAAACATAGTATTATGGAAGCATCAGTATTGTTTATGGCTATGTACGCTTTATTTACAAAGAGAAACTATAGGCTGAAAGAGGGGTACTGTTGGATAATGTAGGCCTTTCATTTTATATACTTGTGCCTGGAAAGTTGTGTGTTGAGTGAGTAAATACCTTCCTGATTATACTAGCTGTTACCCAGACCCTCCCTTTCCTATGCCCAAAGGGCTTCTGCTGAACACAGCAGCCTTCTGTCTGCATCGGTCAGAGGAAGCACTAAAAAGAAACAAGTCTATAGTCTGTCTGTCAACAAATGCTGATGTGCTGAGAGAAAAAAAGAAACAAGTCTATAGTCTGTATGTCAACAAATGCTGATGTGCTGAGAGAATCAAAATGTGATAAGTGATGCAGTATCAAACCCAAAGTACATATGTGCAGTAAATATACTTTTGTGATTGAATGCCATTAAATATTCCACACTATTGGTAAAGAAACCTATCCAGGCAAGTATTTCTGGTTTTCCACCAAATCCCATGGATCATGGTGTGCTTTCCTCTTGTTTTGGAAGAGGAAGAAGAAAATATTTCCATCTCCATCACTGTTTAATTCCTGGTTAGTCCTTCTAGTCTTCTCTTGATTGGTTATATCTTCGGGGTTTTTCAGAGAACGGAGTACAGCTTTTTTCACTGTATTCAAGGATTCTGTTGTAGTTCTTGAGTTAAATAGAAAACCATATTCATCTCAAGTAACACTACTGAGGGTCTGTGATAGGGTCATTTTGGTCTTGTGCTAATATGGAAGGGGAAGTGTTTGAGTGTGGCTGGGGAGAAGGGAATATTTAAACATAATATATTAGGAAAAATAAATGAAGTCAGCAATTACAAATTAAAACAACAAAATCAAGCCGCAAGTCACTTATGCCCTAATAAATGTGTTCTTCTTCGAGTGCTTGCTTATGTCTGCAAGTCATTTATGCCCTAATAAATCTGTTTTTCTTCGAGTGCTTGCTTATGTCCATTCCACTTAGGTGTGTGCATACCACGTGCATGAGTTCTGGCTGCTTTTTACCTTTAGCAGTACCTGTTGAAGCTCCCTGGAGTGGCGCCAACATACCGGCGCATATATAACCCTGCTGGTCCTCCACCCCCTCAGTTCCTTCTTACTGCCTGTGACTGTTGCTGGAACTCTTGGCTTGTTTCATGCAAGTGCACCTTCTTCAGTAGTTTAGTGCTTTCCTAGTTGCTTGTTGATTAGAAGTGCTTAGTAAGTTGTTTTTTTCCTCTCCCCTGCCTCGAGTGGGGAATGCTGGGGCCTCAAGGCTTCAAACCCTGTGTGCGGTGCCTGAAGCTTATGCCCTGTGGAGATCCACACAAGGTGTGTTTGAAGTGTCTTGGAGAAGGCCATCTGACAGACTCATGTACGATCTGCAAGTCCTTTAAACCAAGGACCAAATATGCGCGCGACTCCAGACTCAAGGTGCTGCTGATGGAGTCTGTGCTTCAACCGGTGGCACCAGTACCGTCCGTGAGGAGTGCCCAAGGGTTGGTGCAGGGTACGGGATTTGCACCCAGACACTCTGTGGCGTTGGACCGTCATTCGGCACCGCGGTACTGTTCCCAGTCCCTGGTACTGAGTGCTCGCAAGAAGGCACGGAAAGGGAGATTGCCTTCAAGGCGGGACCAGGGGGTGCATCCGTGAGAGGGACACCCCAAGACTTTATCACTGCCCAGATGCAGAGAGGCTTCCGTACACCACAGGCATAGGTTGAGCACCACTCGGGCAAGTAGTCCCAAGGTTCGGGACCTGTTAGTGGAAGAGGTCCTTGGCCGTTGACCCCAGACACCTTTGTTGTGGCCTCGGAGCTGATCGACCTTACCTCATCCCCGGGATCAGCACTGCACGGTGCGAAGCCATATAAAGGCTGTGAGCGCCAAAGACTTAGAATGGGGCCGACAACACACATGGTGCCACCCTCCTTGCTACCGGTGAGGGATTCTGGTCTGGCACTGCCGGTAGTAGCGACACTGGCTCCCCTGGTATAGGAGCCAGGTTCTGTGTGGAGCGGAACCATCCCAACACCAGCACCATCGACTTCAGCTCCGTCAGCACCGGCACTGTTGGCACCAGAGAATGCAGTCATGCCTCCCCCGCCACCGCCACCACTGCTCTGAGGCAAACCGATGGCCATGGTGCACCACAGCCAGCACCGGGAGCAGGAGGCATCGGTGGCACCACCATGGTCCATGTCAGAGCACTCCTGAATCAGACTCAGAGTCATTCACTTCAAGGGCTTCATCGCACTGATCATCAAGGTCAGGTTGGTCAAGGTCTCTACACCGGTCCCGGCACTGATCCTGGCACTAATCCCGCTCGAGGCATCACTTGCGAAAGGTCAGCCCACCCAGGGTCTCAGACATGGCCTTCACAATAGCAGCTGCTAGCCCAGCGGCCCTTTTGGATTCCCTGGGCATATCAACAAGCCCACTGACTGAAGCTTTCGAGGTTGGGGTCAGCCTCGGCTTCAGTGTACTCAGGCCACAGAGTGACTCCCTTGGCCACCACACTCACACAGGCCCGAACCTCAGCATCCAGGGCCAGTCCTTCGGGACCAGCAGGGGACCACGATCTCCCAGCTCGACAGCCAGCCACAGTGAATCCTACCCAGAGGAGCCACTGTTGCCGAGGGACTCCTTGTCCTCTTCCTCCGATGTGGCTCTGGCAAACCCATCCCTGGCTATGCCCACCATGGACATGTGCACCCATCAAGACCTCTTCAGGAGGTTGGCACAAAAATTAGGGGTGCAGGCCGAGGAAGTGGTGGAAGAATATGATCCCATGGTGGACGTCCTGATGGTGGATGTTCCTGCTAGGACTGCCCTCCCCCTTAAGACGGTGGCCAAAATTATGAAAAACCTTTGGAGGTGTCCATTCCTCCTACGCAGAAAGGGGTGGAGAGGAGGTATTTCATGCCACAGTCAGGTCACGAACATCTGTTTTCCCATCTGCCCCTGGGCGTGGTGGTGGCCTATGCTGCTTTCTAAAGAGAGGCAGGGGCAGCCCAGGCCCACTCCTAAGAGCAGGGAGCCCAGAAAGCTTGACTTCTTGGGGCAAATCACATACACAACAGCGAAACTACAGCTGAGGATTGCTAACCAGCAAGTAATGCTCAGCAGATATGCCTATAACTCCTGGGTGGCGGTTGAGAAGTTCAAGTCCAAGCTCCTGAAGGAGTGGCAGAAGAAGTTTGGGGCTTTGACAGAGGAAGGCAAGGTGGTATCCTGCACCGCCCTTCAGGCCACACTGGATGCAGTAGACTCTGTGGAATGCTTAGTGGCCAAGGGCATTGTCTTGTGGAGGAACTTGTGGCTTTAAGTCTCGGGCATCCCGCCTGAAGTCCAGACTATGCTGCAGGACTTGCCCTTCAAAGGCTCAGGGCTCATCTCAGAGCAGACTGTCAGTAAATTGCAGTCGGAAGGACGTGAGGGTGATGTTCAAGTCTTTGGGCATCCACACCCCTGCTCCCCAGCGTCACCCATTGAATCCCAGGTCACAGAGACCATACCAACAGGGACCCAGATAAGACTCACGGCTTGGAAGATCCGTGATTGAGGGGGAAGAGAGCTCCTCTGTTCAGACCTGGTCAGATGGGTACTGATAGAGGGTAGAAAGCTCTCCACCAGGGTGACCTCTCAGGCCAAATGGAGGAGGTTTTCCACTTGAGTCAGTCAGTCAGAAAAGGGGGGACCCCTTTTGAGCCCCATCCCCATCCCCATGATCTTAGACTACCTCCTTGACCTCAGGCAACAGGGGTTGTTCATCTCTTCGGTGAAAATACACCTGGTAGCCCTTGTGGCTTTTCACCAGGGGGAAGGGGAAGCTCTATCTTCACCCATGTGATGGTTGAGCACTTTCTGCAGGGTCTTGATAGGCTCTATCCCTAGGTTAGGCAACCTGTTCCACAGTGGGACCTGACTCTAGTGCTCCAGGGACTCATGAGACCCCCATTCGAACCAATAGCGACATGTTCCCTCTCTCATGGAAGGTAGTCTTTCTCGTGGCTATCCCCTCAACTAGGAGGATGTCTGAGTTGTGAGCCCTTTCTTTGGTGCCACCATATAACCTGTTCTCTAAGGACAGGGTGATATTGCGTCCACACCCCGCCTTTCTACCTAAAGTAGTGTCCCTGTTCCATATGTCCCAAGAGATTTTCCCACTGGTCTTTTGCTCTTTTTCATTTGCGTGCAGCTTAGGGTAAGCGCTTCATTAGATGTCAGGAGGGCGCTCAGTTTTCTTTGGAGAGGACAAAGCAGTTTCATAGGATACATTAGATGTCAGGAGGGCTCTCAGCTTTTCTTTGGAGAGGACAAAGCAGTTTCATAGGTAGACCCAGCTCTTCGTCTCTATGACCGAGAGGATGAAGGGCCTCCCTGTGTTGGCTCAGTGCCTGTCCTCATGGCATGCTTTAAGGCGTGTTATGATCTAAGGGGAAAGCCGTCTTCCCCCCCCCTCCATGGCCCATTCTACCAGAACCCAGGCCTCCTCAATGGCATTCCTAGCATAGGTGCCAATCAGAACTCAGGCCTCCTCAATGGCATTCCTAGCATAGGTGCCAATCCTAGACCTCTGTGGAGTGGCTATGTGGTCATCGATCCATACTTTTACTAACCATTATGCAGGCTAGACAGGATTTGGCTGTTGGCAGAGTGGTGCTGCAGTCTAGTTGTCCTTAGGTTCCAACCCCGCCTCGGTAGGTATGGCTTGGGAATCACCTAAGTGGAATGGACATAAGCAAGCACTTGAAGAAAAAATGATTACTTACCTCATAACGGTTGTTCTTTGAGATGTGTTGCTTATGTCCATTCCAATCCCAACTACCTCCTTTTCATCGGAACGTCCGGCGCCAATATGCCGGCGCCACTTCAGAGGGCTCACGGGCTGGCCCAACGGGTACTGCTAAGGGTAAAAAGCATCCAGAACTTGTGCACGCAGCGCATGCACACTTAAGTGGAATGGACATAAGCAACACATCTTGAAGAACAACAGTTATGAGGTAGGTAACCGTTTTGTCTCTAAAGGTGCCACAGGACTCCTCATTGTTTTTGCACATACAGACTGACACAACTATCCCTCTGAGACTAATAGATTTTGTGCAACTTAACCATAATTGTCATATTACTCATAATGTTCACTAATTCAATTTCAAAATGTGAAGGAAAAGAACATGAATTCAAACCTAAGTTCTTTGTTGTTAAAGGTATGTTCAAAAGCAAGAAGCTAAACAAAACTAAACATGATTGATTAAAAACAGCAAGCAAATGGTCTGGTAGCACTTTATGGATTGACAAAACATGTAAATGGTATCATGAGCTTTTGTGGGCACAGACCACTTCTTCAGATGACCGGAGTTATGATTAGAGGATAAGGAAACTCGAAATAAATAGGAGAAGTTTAGGGGGTTGTCTGTAAGCAAGAATAGGTTTTTCTCCCAGGGCTTCTCAGATAACCCCCAAACCTGAAATGTATTCTTTCTGATAACCATGCCACACAACTACATCATAAGCCTCCAGGAATCCGGCCCTGCAACCAGAAAAGATATCAACTCTGCCCACATATCTACACTGACCAATTCATCACCGAAGCAAACAACACTAGCCACAAAAATCAAAGGGTCATTTGACTGCTCCTCTAGTAATTTGATCTATACCAGCAAATGCCAACAGTGCCCCTCTACTATATATATTGGTCAAACTGGACGTTCTCTACGTGAAAGAATCAATGGACACAAATCGGATATATGTAAAGAAAATACTCAGAAGCCAGTGGCAGAACATTTCTGTTTACCTAACCATAGTCTCACAGATCTGAAGGTGGCGGTCTTGTCACAGGCCAGTTCCTCAAGCCAAATCCACAGGGAAAGCTTGGAATTACAATACATATGCAAATTCAATTAATTATGGACTTAATCAAGATATGGGGTGGTGGAACCTTTATCAATGAAGGTGCTAACTACTTTCTGAATGGTATCCTTCCTGCCTTATCTATCCACTGACTTTGATCTTTATCTACTCCAGGTGTAGCACCCTTTCTCCTGAGACTTTATGCATAGAGTTGGGGAAGTGGGCGACAGAACATTCTCCCCCGCTCCCTCCCACACACTTCCCTTCTCCTATTTATTGAGTTTCCTTATCCTCTAATCATAGCTCCTGTCATCTGAAGAAGTGGGCTGTGCCCATGAAAGCTCATGATACCATCTACATGTTTTGTTAGTCTATGAAGTGCTACCAGACCATTTGCTTGCTGTTTTTTTTTCTGTAACAGACTAACTTGGCTACCCCCCAAAGCTCCTGAACATAATTGATTAAAGTTGAGAAAAAATTAAAGGTTTAGTAGTGTTCTTTTGTCAAGCATATACATTATTTAAGATACCAGTTCATTTTTGCCTTTTTCTGCCTTTTTAGGTGTCTGTAAATAAAAACCATTTGTTGCTGTACAACCACAGAGTTAACCTGGAAAGAATAGATACACTCGGGATATATGGAAAAGTACAGATTCAGACTATAGGGTTTGTTTCTAATAATGTAAGTTTCTGAATTGGATAACTGATTTTGGGGTGCTTTTCCTTATGTCAGCCTACTGTACATTATGCTATTCTTAAGTAAGATATCAACAGTGAAAATGAAGTAATACAGAAGCAAAATCTATATTTTATATACTGAAGTGTCTTAATGTCTTCTTAATGTCAGATAATGTCTTCTTCCTTAAATGTCAGTGTTATGTTCCTTAAACAGTGTTATGTTGTACGAGTCAGAGTCTTGTCTCTAGTCTTGTCAAATTACTCTACTCAGTGTCAGAATGTTTTTTTTTTTTTCTATTTTGGATTTGAATCTACTTTGTTGGGGAGGGAAGCCCAGACTGAAAACTTACATCACAGTTAATATGAAAATCAAATTATATGCAGAAATAGGCGTAATTTCCTGCCCCCCAACCTCACAGCTGGACACACAGACCAGAACGTTCAGCTGCTTGTACTTCAGAATGATTCTTGGAGCATCCTTCTCAGAATAATCTACTTCCAAACACTGTACTAAAACAGAGCTAGCATTCTTTACAGAGCTTTTACTTGTAGAGGTGATCTTACTTTACCTACCAAAGCAACTCTAAATTGGCTGATTGGATGGTGAGTGTACCTTTTTAGGTTTTGAGGCTGTGCTGTAATTCTTTGAGATAACATGGAGAACAGTACTATGTTCTAATTTATTCAGAATGAGATTAAATTTGCTGCAGTAGACAGCAGAATGGGGATTATCAGCAAAACAGCGAGGGAATTGTCCCTCCTGCCACCAGTGCAGACACTGGCTAGTGAATGCAACAAGGCAGCACAGCACAATGGATTGGGGAGCAGTCCAGAAATGTAGTTAGGTGGGACAATGGTTCTCTCTGCCTCCATATTCAACTCTGATGCTTCCTTTTAACTGCCTACAAGTCCACCTACATAGGGGAAGAAAGGGGGCAACTGCCCTGGTGCCCGGAGCTTGGCAACCGGAGCCTCAGGCCCCACTGAATTACCACCAGAACGCTGCTCCATGTAGCTCTGTGGGCTGGGGGGACTAAGCACTGTGTACTCTCAGCCCCACCTCTTCTGCCCTCGTCCCCTTCCCTTCTGGGGGCATGGAGCCATGTCTTGCTCCAGGGCACATGGTGACTGTCAGGCCTGCCGTTTGCCTATGAAATAAAATTCCTCGGAAAATTCAGATGGTTTTTTTTCTTTCCTATGTGGGAGCTCCCTGGATTTTTACATCCTAATTGAAGTTTAATCTTCCTTATTTTCTGCCCAACCTCTAGTCTAATTTAAATGCTCAGGGTAATAAGTGTATTGAAGGGAGGTAGACCTGGGCCTGAGAGAAACAGGGACTGAACTCAGAGATGTCCACCAAGCTCTTTTATGTATGCAGCATGTATGTAGCTCTATATCTGGGTACTTATATGGCCCTCAACATCTAAAAACCTGATTAAATATTAACTTGAAGCTGAAGGTTTCCGTTTTGGAAAACTGATTCTGGGAGTAGTTTTGGGGCTAGCAGATGTTGAACATTTGGACATCTGCCTCAAAGTACAATACGAAAAGAAAAACATATAACTTTACACAATCATTTTCTTCAGTGATTAAGGAGTCCTGTGGCACCTTATAGACTAACAGATGTACTGGAGCATAAGCTTTCGTGGGCAAAGACCCACGTAGTCAGATGCATGTAGACGTGGGTCTTTGCCCACGAAAGCTTATGCTCCAATACAACTGTTAGTCTATAAGGTGCCACAGGACTCCTTGTCACTTTGCAGATCCAGATTAACACGGCTAGCCCTCTGATACTTCAGTGATTAAGAAATTACAAATTTTCTGCTTTTGTGCTTTCATAATTTCTTTTTTTCTGTTTTGAGGCTGACTATAGCCATTTCATTGTCTCCACTTTTCTGTTTTCCTTCACGACAAATGGGGACAGTCTGCTATCTTATGCAGTGGAGAAGAGAGGGGGCACTGAACCAAACAATTTGAGGTTATGCCACCAGAATGCTGCTCCCTGTAGCTCTGTGGGCTGGGAGGGGGGGCACACTGTGATCTGGGCAGCACATTGTCTCCACTTTTCTGTTTTCCTTCACGACAAATGGGGACAGTCTGCTATCTTATGCAGTGGAGAAGAGAGGGGGCACTGAACCAAACAATTTGAGGTTATGTCTGGCCTGAAAGTGGCTAGGTCAAAGCTTGTTCCCATTTAACATCATCTTATTTAAGAGTCAAGTTATATGTCATGTAAAAAACCCCAGATTGCTAAAATCTTAAGGTCCTCTAGGATTTTATCCCTTAAAGCTTTTGCATAACTGCCTTCCTCATTCCATTTAGGAGCACTTAAATGTAGTATCTTCCAAACAAATCACATCAGTATTCTGAGGATCTGCCTGATCAGAAACATTCAGGGTGACCAGTCACATGCCTGTCCAGAGAAGGGCCAACATAGGGCTAGATTCTTTTAGATAGCACAATGTGGGTTCATAAATAGTCTTTTGAATAACTTTAACCATAGTCTCAGGCTTTCCATAGTAGTCCAAAGCCACACCCCTTTTTGTACAGTTCTAACAAACTTTAGAATAAGAATTCTAGTAAATGCGAGCAATGATCTCTAAATACCTTTTCTCTGCAGTTTTTACAAGGCTCTCAGTCATCATCTCTAGGAATAACAAAGATAAACTCAGCAAATGTATGTATGTATGTATGTATGTATGTAAGATGGTTATATGATCTTCCCATTCATTGATATTGTAGTTAATTTTAGTGTGTGTTATTTTTTGTAGGGAGAAGTTCCTGATGGTTCACAATTTGTAAGTATCTTTTGTATATGTAAATTGCAAATGTGAAATGATTAAAACATCTGGATCATTAAAAGCAACAGACCTTGTCCCTGCTGGCTCATCCTTGCAGGCAGCTGAGGCTGCCTATATGACATCTAGGTGATACTCCAGACCAGCACAGGCGGCTGATTGCAGAATCAGAAGCCTAGTGGTACATTTTTCACAACTCCAGGGCTGTAATTTTAACCATGAGCTTATTGCAGCTCAGTCCACAGCACAAATCAATTCCAGGAAGGGAAACGCCAAGCTGATGCTACAGGCAGGACATGTTTCTGAGCTAAGGAAAATAAAACTTTATTTTGTTATGCTGTCCAGCAGTAGCCATGGATGCAGAGAACGCCCTTAGAGAAAGTCTGCTGGATATAACTACTTGTGGTATCTGTCTGGAGTATTTTAAAATCCCACTGGTTAGTCAAAAGATTTTAAAAATAATTATGTATATTAAAAAAAAGAGATCCTGAAATGAACATGCATATTTGCCTTCCAACCATAACTAGATCATTCCAATGGTTTGTGAAAATAATTAATTAAAAGACATGGCAACTTTGAAAGACAGATTTTTTTTTAACATGTTTTTCAGATTATTTTAAAAATACAAAAGCAGAGAAAGGCAATAGGGAGGTGACAGATAGAGGTCATCAATGTATACTTAAAGCCACAGATTATAACTGCATAGGGTTGCCTTTCCAGGTGGTTCCTTATGTTGCAAGGCTTAATTCTGCACTTCGTTCTGGACGTACAATTGTCATCAAAGGGGAAGTGAATAAAAACGCAAACAGGTCAGTAGATAGATACGAGTGTTCTTACATCCTAATAGCAGTTTACATTTTAACGTGTAATTCTGTCACTCTTCATTACTACTATAATTTAATATCTGAGTTATTCTGCCAGTCTGATTCTTCCCTACCTGCTGCAGCTGCCAGAGGACACATCTCCTCAGTATTATGAGAAGAGATCTGGCTGTAGTTGTCTCATGAGCCATCAGTACTGCTTCAGTGCTGATGGCAGAACAGCCCCACAGCTGCTTAATGAGCCCCACCCAACCAGGGGCTCAGGACTTGTGCACAGAGCTGCCTAGTGTGGAGAGAGGCACTTTTCCCTACTGAAGACAGAGACCCAGCCACTAGGGACACATCCCCTCTTTACTGATTGGGAAAGACTCATGGCTCTGTCCTCAGCAGGGAGCTGCTGCTATCGCTGAGAGAGAAGTGCCCCTCCTCCCCGGGCCAGGCAGCTCTGTGCACAAGTCCTGAGCCCCTGCCTGGGCGGGGCTCATTAAGCAGCCGCAGGGCTGTGTTGCCATGCAGCTCAGAGGAAACGCTGCTCCAGAGTCAGCTTGAAGTGGAGTTGTTCCCTGACAAGTGACTTAAAAAAGATATTGTACCTAGCAGATCTGCACTCTGTGTAAGTTCGGGCCATAGCTGATCAGTTTAAAACTTACGTTGAGCTCTACAAAATATCAGTTGTGTAATGTGTTGACAAAATTTGCCAGCCAGCCAAATACCAGTGATGGAAACTAGTCTTCATCAAGCCCTATTCTACATAGGTGCATGATGCTTCAGTTCTAACACCTCCCCTTCTGGGGCAGATTTACTTCAAATGATGAAATGCATCATTGTTACTCTCCAACTATCTTGGAAATGTCCAGGATTCCCATCATAAATGCATTTTTGCATACTTATTCTACACATGTAGCCCTCTGATCAATGAAGCTTTATTGGAGCTTTCTAAGATCACTGACTGCAGTGACAGCCTCACCCTCTGTAAGCATGCTGAAAAACAATACTACATCCGAGCCAGAGATTCAGAGTTTTTATTCTCTCATCCATCACCAACCTTTGATAATGGAAGCGGTAAATGAGCACAATAGCCAACATTATGCTAAATCTACCCTTTAAAATAAGGACCAGAAGCAGCTCAATCTCTTTGCTGAGGATAATCCTTACAACTAAACGATCAGGCACTTCCGTCAAGCTAAGACTGCCATAAATTTAACACTTTTATTGTGTATTTGAGAGAGATGCGTTGTGAGCAATTCAAGATCAGCAGCAAGGAGGGTCAGTTCTTAGTGAGATCCTCATGACAAGCATCCTTAAAAGAAACTGATACTGCTGCATGGTCCATTTCCACTGTAATCATGATGTAACAAGCCACAGCTCCAACTGTCAAGGCTTCCCTATGAAGATACTGTAGAGAATATGCTTGAAGACCTTCTTTTGGATGATCACATAGATTTTTGGAGTCTACTAACTACTCCTTTCACACCTTGAAAGACTTGAAGGCTGCTCTTCAATTCACTGGGATTTATATGTCTGTAAACAAAGTTTAGCTAGTCTCAGACATCAGATATCTCACCCAGCTCATTTTTCTAGCTTCTGTAGGCCACCCAAGCTCTCAGCCATGAGCCCTGAATACTTAACAACAAAGACTGCGGCTGCCATAACTACTTCATTCCAGCCACCCTGTCATCCAAGTATGAGTTTTGATGGCTTGGTCAAGAGTCTGAACCACAGAGATATACTGCAGCATTATTCCCTTCCCCCCCCCCGTCCCTTTCCAATTTCAATCTGCCCGGGAAAACCTAACATCTTACAAATGGGTTCTGGAGGTTTTAACATGAGCAGCCCCACCTGCACCTTCTTTAAATGGTTAACTGGTTAAACAATGTTTAACCAATTAAATGGGAGTTTACATCCTTATTCCTGAGTCAGGAAATTTTCTTTCCTATGCACATTCCAGTTCCACTTCTGCTCAGCAGCAAAGGGTTTTATTCAAAATACCTTCTGGTCTGGAAAAAGAATGGGAGATAAAGGCCAATATTAGCAGAAACAGCAAATTCAAGATGGTGATCCTTGCAGTTATAATTCCCTTTCTAGATTCCAGGGATGGACTTATGTATCTTGACCTTCAGGACCCATTTCTTAAGCCATTGGGTCATATGGCAGCATGAGTCTTCATGATCCAGGCATGCCACGCTACAGTGCCATTGTTTCCACAGGTGGCTCAGAATCATCTGCAGCCTAATAAGCTGACTCAGACAGGTCTTTGTTCCCCATTGGGACTTGACCAGTTGTGCAAAGTCTGTGCAAGAGTTCCCTTTTTTCCAAGATCCTCCAACTGCTATTGTCACTTCAGACTCATCCTTCTTGGAGTGGGGAGAGCAAATCCAGGGAAAATGGTCTTCACAGGAGAGTCTTCTGCATATCCGCTTTCTGAGAGGAGTCAGGATGCTTCCATATCTGCCATTGATTCAAGCCAAATCCATCAAGATTGTGACAGCGTGGTCCACCTATTCTACACCAATTGACAGGGCAGAGAACACTCCTTACTTTGTGCTGAAGTAATAAAACTCTGAAATTGGTGCATAGCCACACAGATGTGGTTCTCAGCTTCTGGGTATACAGAAGACTGTTGACCATGGTAGCACCTCTGCCAGAATTTTGAGTGGGAATTGAATGCATGAGTCCTCATTAGCACAGTTCTAACTTTTTTTTTTTTTAAATTTCTTGCACTTTGCATTGGGTGCAGTGGCAAGAATTTCTAACTTTTTTTTTTTAATTTCTTGCACTTTGCATTGGGTGCAGTGGCAAGAAGTTTTGATGAACAGTGGCTCTTGATCCACAATCTCTAAATGCTTTTCTCATTTCACTTCTCAACATAATCAAGCAGGACAAAACCAAGGTCATTTTAATTGCACCAACTTGGTCAAGACAAACTTGTTATCCTGGTCTCATTTGCTTTTCTTCTTGTGTTGACTTCAAATCAGTTGTCATGTGTTGTCACAGGATGCCAGACAGACCCTTTATCCCAAACTGGATGTTCTGTGGCTCCAGGCATGCTCTTTGATGGTTCTCTGGGTTAGAGACTTCCTGTTCAACATGTGCTGTTAACTCCAGAAAGAAGTCCATGAAACACACAACATCAGAAGGGGAGGAGATACTGCCTCTGGCATAGCTGCTAAGCCGTTTCCAGTGTCTGCTCCTCTTTCCGTTGGATTTTTTGAAAAATCAGCTTTTACTAGGAGTTCTTGTTATGCGTTCATCAATGATTCCTCTATTCAAAGTTGATTTCTATCCTAGATTTACATATGGATCCTGAGATTGCTCAGGAATCCAATCCTAAAAGTACAGATTCTCCTGCAGTAGGCACAGACCTTTCCTGGTGGGTAACCCTCCTGCTGGGAGAAAGTGTTGGATTTTTTGAAAAATCAGCTTTTACTAGGAGTTCTTGTTATGCGTTCATCAATGATTCCTCTATTCAAAGTTGATTTCTATCCTAGATTTACATATGGATCCTGAGATTGCTCAGGAATCCAATCCTAAAAGTACAGATTCTCCTGCAGTAGGCACAGACCTTTCCTGGTGGGTAACCCTCCTGCTGGGAGAAAGTTCTTAAGGTATACTTAGCAGCTATGATAATCTTTCATTTACAGGCAGAAGACTTTTTTGGAGGGTTTTGCTCATTCTCTGGGTTCAGACTGCTGAGATCTGAAATATTTTTCTACACATTAGAAAACAAACATACTCCCTATACAGGATTTGAACCCAGAGGGGAGCGCCCCAGGGGACAACGGCCACATACACCCTGCCCCCAGCCTGGCAAAGGGCTAAAACACCCCTGACAAAAACCCCACCCTCACCCCTTTGGCTGTGCTGTGGTGCTTCTAGTGAGTGCCCTAGAGCAGTGTGATCTACAATCAGCTGGCTGTGCTTTTCCTGCTGCAGCAGTGATGGTAGGCTGGCACTCACCCTCCAACGCCATAGTACACCTGCTGATTGCTGGCCAGCCCTTCAAGCAAGGTGGCTGTACCTCGCACTGGTCTCATTGGTCTGGGGTAGAGGTAGGGGTGGGACTGTTCCTCTAATCACCAGAAACAGCATGGCATGGCTAGAGAGCAGTGTGAGTTGGGGCTACCTTGCTTTGCTTTCCCTGCAAGTTAGGGGCTGTTTGTAGTCCTCGGGCCAGTACTGGCCCTGCTCCTCCCCTCACCAGTGGCTGGCCAGCCCCTCCCACCTTGAAGGGAGCATGTGCCCCCTCCTCCCCAGCATTCCCTACTTGAACCTTATTCTTATGCAACATCACTTTGAACCATTGACTTTGTTTGTTGCTTGATCTATCCATGAAAATAGCTTTGGTGGTGGCTATCACTACTCACAGGAGGGTGAGAATTGGGAGCTTTACTGTCCGCCCCTCTCTTTCACATGTTCACCATCTTCTTTAAGGAAAAGGTCTTCTTGAGCCACATCCTAAGTTTCTACCTGAAGTGTTGACTAACTTCATGTTGGACCATTCATCTCCAGTTTTGTTTTGTCCCTCAAAACTGCATCAAACAAGGAAGTTGCCTTGGATGGAATAAGGGTATTAGCCTTTTCTTTGGACAGAATCAAGCCATTCAGAAAGTGACCGACTGTTGGATTTATTTAGAATTCAAACAAAAGGACCCACAATCTCCACCCAGACTTTCAAGATGGATCCCTGGATGCATTATCTCATGTTAGGACTGTCAGCATTCAGTCTCCTTGTAGATTGCTAGCCCACTATACAAGGTTGCAGTACAGTCTCATGGCATTAGTCATGAATGTTCAATTACTAAAAGAAGCAGAGCTGCTGTCTGGACTTCAGTACATAGTTTTTCAAACTACTGTGCTTTGTTCATGTCTCTTTAGAGTTTTTACAGGTAGCAATGCTGTTTTGCCTTCAGTAGTAGACTTCCAGAGATTTCATCTGCGGGGACACTGCTCTGGAATCACTGTCAAAGGAACACTCATGGGGACACTATTCAATGGAGGAGAGATTATTCGCCTGGTGTAGTAACTGGAGTTTGAAAGGTCACCCAAATAGGTACTCCACTTAAGGGCATAGGTCCCCTCCTTCCCCACTGCATCAGTTTCTTCTGCGGGATCGTGTGAGAGAAGGAACAAAGACTAAGTCTACACTTGCTCCCTAGTTCGAGCTAGGGATGCAGATGTAGCCAACCGAAATTGCTAATGAAGCGGGGATTTAAATATCCTGTGCTTCATTAGCATAATCTTGCCGGTACGCTATTCTGCTCGCCAGCTGATTCGAATCAGGAAGTGCGCTCTGTGACATTCGAACTAATGTGTCACGGAGCGCACTTCCTGGTTCGAATCACTAATGCGTCACGGAGCGCACTTCCTGGTTCGAATCAGCTGGCGAGCAGAATAGCGCACGGGCGAGATTATGCTAATGAAGCACAGGATATTTAAATCCCGCTTCATTAGCAATTTCGGTTGGCTATATATTGCACCCTTAGCTCAAACTAGGCAGCAAATATAGAAGTACCTTAAGGGAGTTCACCCATGCAGCCCTATATAGCCTTAGTATGGGGCATGAAGGGTACATGCATGGGCCAAGGAGGTGCGGGGATGACAGACCTCTAAGGCAGTGTTTCTCAACTAGTGGTATGAGTACCCTCAGGAGTACTCGAGAGAAGGCTGGGGGGTACATCAACACAACTGAAATTTGGAGAAAATCAAATTTAAGTTTTGTAGTGCTTTTATTATTTTTGTACTTTTTACACAAAAAATCACTACTCCTCTGGGTACAGTTGTTTAAACAAATGTGTTGCAATGGTAGAAAAAAAATGTCTGAAAACTATAGGTACTGGGCGTATTTTTTTTTTTAAAGGGGGGGAGGAGGGTACTCTTTCTTAAAAAGGGGTACTTTAGAGCAGTGTTTCTCACTCTTATAAAGTACTGGACGTGCATGCACACCTTGGGTATGTCTAGACTACATGGCTCCGTCGACAGAGCCATGCAGATGAGTTTACTAGACATAGGAAAATGAAGCGGTGATTTAAAAAATCGCCGCTTCATTTACATCAAAATGGCCGCGACACTGTGCTGATCAGCTGTTTGGCGGCACAGCGGGGCCGTCTGGACCTTTTGCGGTTGACAACAGAAGCCTTTGTCGACCGCTCCGGTATGCCTCGTGAAATGAGGGATATCGGAGCCGCTTCATTTTCCTATGTCTAGTAAACTCATCTACATGGCTCCGTCAAAGGAGTCCTGTAGTCTAGACATACCCCTTAAGTGGAGCACACGAGCGCACACATCTTGAAGCGCTCAAGTTACTGCACAGACTAGTTACTCTCCTTTTGTGTTAGGACCAGGCCCGGAATATTTCAACCAGGACCAGGTCCGGAATATTTCAACCAAACTGAGTGTTTCAGAGAGAAAATGGGATTTGGGGAATGTCTTCCTTTAACACAGTATCAATAAATGCTACAAATCTATTACACTGTAAGCACCGCACATGTGCCAGTTGGACACAGCATTAAATAGTTTTTCCTGTCACAGGCAACACATTTTCAGTATGATGCTGACAGAAGACAATTGTGATCTCACAAATGTGTGATCTTTTAAAATGATGCTGACAGAAGACAAATGTGATCTCACAAATGTGTGATCTTTTAAAACTGATCCACAATAAATGAGGTGTAGCAGGAAAGAAGTACACTAAGAAAACTGTAAGAGTGCAATCTTAAACAGTTGTGCGCATGTTCAGTTACTAGCAAGATCAAGGCACTAGATTTGCAATTTTTCCAACTAGCATTTATGCCTAGATTTTTTTTCATTAAATATGCTGCACACATCTGGCATATATGCTGCCTGTTGCTATATGTAATCTTAATGTTTTTCAGCTTTGCTGTTAATCTGAAATCAAGCGACTCAAAGGATATTGCATTGCATCTGAATCCCCGAATAAAAACAAAAGTTTTTGTGAGAAATTCCTATCTTTATGATAGCTGGGGAGAAGAAGAAAAGGATGTCATTCATTTCCCTTTCAGTCCAGGAATGTACTTTGAGGTAAGGCTACTTCAATTAGGATAGAAAAACTCAACAATGTCTTTGTATTGAATGAAAACAGTTAAATGATACCCTTTCAATTTCATGTAGCTAGCATGAGTTAGAATTACTGGTACAGTAACCGTTTGGGACAAACTAAAAAGCAACTAAAGATAAACTTGATTCCAAATCTTATTGCTGTGAAAAATTTCAATCCTCTCTCATGTTCAGACAAAAGAGAAAGTGCCTGAATTAACCTTTAATAGTTGTAAACAGTATCTTCAGCAAATTGTACTCTGTCCAACTTGGGTTATTTCCTTTGCAATTTTAATTTTTTTTAACTTTAAGGTCCTACCTAGCCAAGTGTTTTTATACAAGCACATTTTTCACAAGCAGAAACCAGGATTCTCTGCTTCTGAATTAGACCACCAGTCTTCACTTTAATCAAGTTAAAACCTAACTAAAAATCTGTTCCCTCTTTTTGCTTTCAGCTGTTACTTTTTTGTGATGTTCATCATTACAAGGTTGCCATAAATGGTGTGCACATCCTGGAGTATAAACATAGATTTAAACAGCTTGAAAAGATCAACGTATTGGAAGTTACTGGAGACATTCAGTTATTGGATGTAAGGAGCTGGTAGCATTATACAGATTTTCACCATATGTTAACCTGTAATTCTTCCTCCCCGGCCCCCATGTCTCTCCCTCAAGTACGTACCGGTATTGAATAGTCCAGATCCTTGTCCTATCTAAGTTTCTGTACTGGTGCTGATCAGAAAGTTGAGCACCAGGAGTTATAATCCTATTAGATTAAGTCTTCCTCAGTTTTCAGTATTGTGGCAAACTAAAGTCACATTATCTGCTTCACTAGTCATAGATCTCCTGACATATGAAGAATTGTTATTATACTTAATATAATGCAATATTTACAGTATTCCTAATAAGTGCAAAATATTTTGTATACTAAAACTGGTTCCCAATCTTTGTTATACTGCAGACCAACAAACCCAATCACAAACTTTTGGCAGACTGGTAATGTTTGCAAATTCACATTCATTATGCAAATACTGAAAATGCAAATAATGTTACCAGTTGGCCTGAAGCCCTGGGCCCCCGAGCTGCTGCAAACAGCCAGCTTCAGCTCCAGCACATGCGATGTGGGGGGCAGCTGAAGCCAACTGTTTATGGCATCTCTGGGGGATAGGGTACACCCCAGCCCCTTAAGCCTTCCAGTGCCAGCCCTAACCCCTTCAGCCCCCCAGCACTAGCTACTGACCCAGGAGTCCCCTGCATCCAACCCTCCCCTCAGGCCTCCTCAGCATCTGAGAGGATATCCTGTCCCTGGTTGGCTGAGAGGTGGGGCAGGTCATGCCTCTCCCAGCAGGCGCAGCAGGAGGTGAGGTGCTGGGTGGTGTTGTCCAGCCCCCTGAGCTGCTGTGGTCCAGAAGCAAGCGGTTTACGGCCTGGCAGTTGGGAACCATTGTTATAACATGCTAATAACTATAAAGTCAGTATTGTCTGTTGATAAAAGTTGGATTGGAACATCTGAAAATGGATTGTCAACCCTTAAGGGATCTAATCAAGTTCTAAGTGTATTTTAACCCTCATTGTTTATATGCAAAGTTAATTGGAAATTACATAGAAATAATGTACTCTAATTTAGGGAAAGCATATTTCAAGCCTAGGTGCTTTATTTTTTTTAAAATGCTGATTTAACTGTTGAAATTAGTAGCATTGGACCAGTGTAAACCTGAAGAAATGCAATGGTGAATCAGAACCCAGCTATATTAAAGTAGCTAATGTGAGTGTTCTCTATACATCTTGAATAGATAATTCAATCCCAAGCTTAAAATATTTAACTGAAGCTACCTCACACAACATGGCAGCTTGGCTAAAAAATTTCGACCCCTTTCCTAGTGGTATTTTCTTGTCTGTTGCACTATAGTACTAGAACACGATACTCTAAGCCTTTTCCTTGACTTTTGTAGTCATGTCAGTCCTGTACCCAAGTGGCCTAAGGTTAGCCCATACAAAAAGTCCTGGCTTTTATGATAGAATTCTGTAATTTTAACTGAGAACAAAGTCAAATATCACGGTCCTGCAATTTTGCTAGCTCTTTTCAAATTTTGGAGATGCCGGACTACAGAAGAGATGTTAAAGAGCTCTTATCTTCCTTTTTAATTCAGGTTGCTCAAGAATAGAAGTAGCTATCATATCTGGTTATTTAAAGGATGTGGATCCATGGATAATATGCATTAAATCTGATCTGAGAGCAAATATTCAGTATGTTTTTCATCAATGGGATAGTAACTAAACTTTTGATTAAGTTGCACTATAATATGCTATCTGACACATACATTTGTAAGAAAATGCTGATTAGCATATATATGGATCCCCAAAGCTATTAACAACATTGCCTGAGGAAATTTTTGTATTAGGCCAATTTAAAAATGCCTATACTGCACGGTATGTTACACTGGCATATAATGTATGTTTACTTTTCACCATTCTTTTAATTAAAAGTACATTCCAGCTAAAACATGCTTCTGTTAAACAGCCTCCTCTAAAAACATTTAATCTCACCCTAAGAAAAGCTGGCAGTTATAGAACTGGCATTGCTTGGCTAGCTAAAGAACAACCGGTGAACCTCATTATCAGTTCACTTTTCTCCTGAAGTCTCTGCCTAAGTTTGACTTTATACTGTTCCAACTGAAGGATTTACAAAGTTCTTATTTTGTAAACACCTTTAAAGTTGGAATCTCTTACAGTCATCTGTCTCAAGTATGGTCAGTCTTAAATGAGTATTGCTGGCTTCTTCACTTATTTTCTTTCATAGTTAAAAAGAAAGAACAGGACTAGAACAGATAATTTCTGTCTATTCATCCTTCATTGAAAATCTGAAACCCAGGTAGAAAACTAGCACATATAGACAGAATGCCTGACTAATAGATAGGTGTGCACATAGTTTAAGAACTTAATACATTCGCATGGTAACACGTGCACACCCTTGTGGCATATTGGATTTATGGCATAATGGTGATTAGAGTAATCATGTTTTAAAGCAAAATTAATATTTTCTGTACCTGTTTATTATTTGAGATTATATGTCTAATCTGGTATAATTGAGACTCAAATCCCACAGCATATAAAGGATGAGTGATTTATATTCAAGTTAGTCCCTGTGAAGAAAACATCTCACAAAAAATGTAGCTTCAAGTAGTCAGGGACTCTGCTATTGGAAAATGCTCTGTCACCATGAATGACTAAAAAGCTGCAATATGAACTTAGTTTTTTTTCCTATTAAGAGGGGGGGGAAAAAAAAAAGTCTGTCCCTTCTAAAACCTTGCAATTTTTTTTCCTATTAAAAGGAAAAAAAAAAAAGTCTGTCCCTTCTAAAACCTCGCAGCACATTTTATGAGAATTCACCCCCATTGTCTTTCCTAAACTGAATTCTGAATATAGAAGATCAAAGACAAAGTTACAAAAAGCCATCTTGTAAAATGTACAGTTTATTAATTCTGGAAATTTTAATGACTCTGTATAATGTACAGGTAAGATCTTAGCATTCTATAACATTACTCTTAATTGGAATGATATAGTAACTTTGTGACAGTCTTATTAGTTCTTATAAAACTTTCACCTCTTATAATTTAGGCTTCACGACAAACAAGTAAGGGTGTTTCTTAGAAGTAGCTTTGGAGTGATTCTCCTAAAATGACTTCTAGTTGCTGAATTGTCTTCTGGCACTGGTGTTCTACTTCTTCACATTCATCTAAAAAGCAAACATTAATGAAGATATAACTAACATGTATGCCCATCTCCACCCTCACAGCTTTTATGTTGTAAGATCTCCACACAACCCGTTTTTTGTATATGTCTTTTCACATTGTATACATTTGTGGGCGGGGACTGTCTATAGTATTTAGGAAGCACTTACTGTTTTGGGGCATTAAAGAGTAGTGCAATAAAAATAATTTTGAAGTAAAGTGTTTTTTGACTTACGGAAGTGCTGTAAATGTAGTAACCTTTCATAAAAGCCGGTTGTAAAAGCAGTGCCATAGTAACTGTTTGAGACTTAAGTGGTGCAGAGGCCAAAGGCACAGAGGTGAATTCCCATCAGTTTATAGCTGTGTCCAGTAGTTAAGAAATTAAAATTCCACTGGCACCTCAGATGGCAAGTCCCAGTATACTAATTAATGCAATGAGTTAATACGATGGATAACTTAATTCTTTAAAAAAAGTGACTAACACTCAAAACAGTGATTTTTTTTCCCATGGTGGACCACTGCTTTTGTTAAAGGTTGTTTTGTATTATGCAAGTATTTCAGCATGAACATTGCAAATCTCCTGGTTATCAACTGAAGCATTGTAGGACATTACCTTCCATTAGCTCAGCTAAGAACGGGATGGATTCTGGCAACAGCACCATATAGTTCTCTTTTAGTTTCCCTGCAAGGTCTACCAAAGTAAGCAAAGCTGCAAATCGGACCTGTAATTAAAACAAACAAACAAACACTATATATGGAAACAAGCATTACACCATATTCTCTGAAACATACCTTTTAATATATATCTTTGACCAATTTAGTTCCTTCTCCATTCTCTGCCCAGGGCTTTTACTTGGTGTAGTGATTTCTGGGAACTGAAGTTTGCTAAGTGACTGAGCTGGAGAGACTAATGCATTTCATTCTAACACATACAGTCACACCTCACATGGAAGAAAACAGAAAATCAGCCAAGAATTAAGCCTACTTGAAGGGATAAAGGAGGGGGTGGGTCTGCTGGCAGGAAGACATTTTTAAAAGTTATCTGAACTCCTTTTTGAAGTTACAAAAAATTTTCCACTTGCAGTGAGTCCTGAAGCATACCCAGCAGGTTGTTAATTCTGGGCCACAGGGAATGACAGAATGAAAAGATCCTCATCTAGAACACCTCTACATTAGCTTGGTTGAGTTTTAGCACTTCTACGGACTACAGTTGTGAATCCGAGATGAGAGAGACATTTATTTTTAAGGGAATAATTCCAGATCATTTAGAACTTCAAGTGTAGGCTGAGATGAGAGAGACATTTCTTTTTAAGAGAATGATTCCAGATCATTTAGAACTTCAAGTGTAGGCCCAAGCTGCAACTTAAGTACGGTCTACACTACAGAGCTAGTTTTAGAGCACTATCCTAAGTGTCAATTCAGGATGGGAGGCTCACTTCAGTGGCCTGGGTAGACATACCCTAAATGTCAAGACACACATCATGGGGGCCTATAAACATCCAGCATGGTTTATGGAGCCTTGATGTTTGTGCTCTTGATATATCAGCCCTCTTAATAAAACAACTGCTGCATTCCATGTCAGTTTTAGACTCGAGCTTGTCTCAAGGATAGCACCAAATGGAATGCATTATAGAAGTCATTTCACAACAAAAAGGACAAATAAACGTAACGAAGTTCACACACACAAAATAAGAGGTCTATGTACAAGAAAGGAAAGGTGGGCTCCTAATCCTAGATTGGGGTCCAATGAGACTTAGACTACATAGGCTGTATTAGCTTTTGAAGTTGTGACAACATTTACTAATTCTTCCATTTGTGTTCCACAACCTATCAAAACTAGCCCAGCCTTAGCCAGTTTGTCCTCAACACAAAACAGTTGCTGCATCAGCATGTCTACCAGAAGTAGAGCTGGGTGTTATCAATTTACTGAAGACCTCACAGCCTGCCCCACCTCATTATCCACCCGTAGGGCCCGATATACTTTGGCATAGATTAGATTTTTACCCATAAATGTAGATTTCAGCGCATACACTCCCCCTCCCCCCCAAAGAAAAAAAATATTTCCCATACACTCCCCCCCCTCCCCCAAAGAAAAAAAATTATTTCCTTTGGCAATCAAAATGTACAGATTGGCAAAGAAAGAAAAAGGCTAAATGGGAACATGAGAGTTTAAGAATATTTACTTTGTGTATTTTGATGTGTGTGTTACTGCCTACCCATGCCTCTGCCAGGAGTAGCAGAGAAGGTTGCTGCTTGCAGATAGCTGCCCAGGGTGAGCATCCCTCAGATCCAGTACACTCCTGCATCCAAACTCACTCCCTTTCAGTTAATTGTCATTTTTCCATTTAGCAGCACACCAGATTCCTCAATGTGCCAAATAAAAAAAGCTTTTATTGTATTATAAATATGGAACATGAGCAAAAGACACAGCAGACCCATGCTAAACCATAGCTGAATCATGGAAGGCTGAAGAATAGATCCTGCAAACATAAGCTGCAGATATCCACAAATTTGCTGGGCCCTACTGATGAACAGTTGCCCAGAATTGTTTTCTGGCATCCATTCTGAAGCTATTCCATTCACACTACGAAAAGGATCATTTGTATTAACAACAACATGTTATCATAAAGAGCAAATTTCATGTCAAGCAATGACCCAGCCAACCCACAATCTGCTATGTATGTACAGCAGTTGAAAATATTCAACCAAGATAATCTAGCTTCATACCTTAGGTAAGGTGTGCCTTGTCTTCAGCAGAATTTGGTAGTTTAGTGGTTTCCATAGAGAATCATCTGCCATTGCAATTGAAAACTGAGCTATACATGGAATTAAGTGCATGGTCACTCTTTCTTGGAACTTCTCTTCTCCTCCAAGCATGTTTTCTAGCTGCAGGAGTAAAACGATCACAAAGCAAGTAAAACACAAACACCCAAATGTTTAACTGAGGTATAAAAACCTCTGCTGCCCTCACACTCCAACATCAGGTTCACTTTTCTCAACGCGAATTTGGAGCCTAGTGGAGCGAGATTTTAAAGGCCAAAGTATTAATGAATATAAAGATGGTAATCTAAAAAGTTAGCTTTAAAAATACTGATTCTCCTAAATTCTCAGCTATGAACTCCCTCCTGGGATTAGGATTTAATACCACTGTTTACTAGTGTGTGAAAAATTCAGGGTTAGTCCATTGAGACACCATATCTTTGACTGATAAATATGGTCTGAGTGCCTGTAGAGGTAGTGCACTTGGCATGCAGGAATTGGGGGAGGAGACAGAAAGCACCTCACCGTGCAGGAGTGACTCATCCAAGTGGGCAGTGGTGTTGCATGACAGAGCAGTTTAAAAAGGTATGAGCCAGTGAGAAGGGAGCCAGAAACTCCTGAGCTTTGAGCAAGTCACTTAATCCTGCCAGTACGCCATTGAGGTAGGTAACTATTAAATTTTTCTATTTTGTAGATGAGAAAACAGGTGCAGGGATTATTTAAGTAACATGCTCAATTGCTTTGAAGACAAATACTAAATAACATGATTATTAAAAATAAAATGGGAACAGGGAGAGATTAATCCAAATAAGGACAAATCTATGACTTATTAGAACATAATATGAACCTTTAACATCAACAATACACATTTTAAATGAAATGGGAAAACAATACTTAAATAATCCAGCAATCATGTCCTTTCAATATATGTGTAAGTACCTGATCAACTAGGGGCACCATCAAGGTTTCTGCTCTCTCTTTGCTTACAAAACGCTGGGTGTCAAAGAGGAATATTTTGTACAAACAGTCTAGGATGAACTGTAGCAATAAGCAGCTCTTCTCAGTGCTGTTCTCGGAATCAAAGAAAGCTTCATCTGTATATGGGGGGAAAAAGGGAAGAAACCATGAAGAAGCCACTTCCTCTGCAAACACTGGGAATTAGAATTATTAGCTGTTCATCATACTGGAACTGGCAATAATGAAGGGAGAGATTACTTAGCAGGCAATGTTACCATCACGCTCAAAGAAATGAGAAGTAAACGGCCCATGGCCTGGATATTATATGTGATTATATCCAATCCACACATCCCTGTGAAATACAATATGCAATTCGGCCTTTTAGCTCACTGCATTTCAATTTACCCTCTAATTTTTTTCCATCCATGTGCACAACAAATTTTGTTATGTGCAGAGGCATGTGTCAATGCTCACCACCAATGCTGTCAGCTGTGGGTGCTCTGTTAATCAGCTGGGCGGAACCTGAACCTCTCCTGGGTGGTGGCTCAAGTGCAGTTTACAGGGAACACTACTGCAGTTTAGAACAGTGCTTCAACCTGGAGTTTCCAACTTCATTACACTGCAAACCACTTCTGACAAAAAATTACTACACAATCCCAGGAGGGAGGGCCAGAGCCCCAAGGTCTTGGATCTGGGCCTGTAAACTGATCCCACACCCTGGGCTAAAGTCCTCAGGCTTGGCTTTGGCTTCAACCCCAGGCAGTGGGACTCAGCCCCCAGCAAGTCTACTATTCCGGCCCTGGCAATCCAAAATGGGGTCATAA